ATATGCAGAAAAAATCACAAGCATAGAGTCTCAAATTTCTTGTCTCATAATAATTACAGAATGAAAATCAGAATACTCAGAAGCCTACGACTAATCGAGCCGGAAAAAATGACTTGAACGTTTTTTGGAAACGGATATCAAAAGGAAATGATGCAACGGAATATTCAGTTCGTATTGAACAAATGGCAGGAGGGGCATTATGAAAGGAAAGCAAATGAGACAAAAGAAAAACGATTGGAACGTCTAGCCTCCTGTGGCCCAAAATTCCCATCTTCACAGTTATGCATTGACAACTGCAGGTGTGGCGTAGTGACAAAACGTAAAAATTATATGATTCAATATTTGGGTTCGAATCCTGTTTAGACCAGTGATGGGTTGATGAGGCGAGGCTAAAAGTATATATCAGTTTGGATGAGAAAGCCTACTAGGATACAGGGACATGATAATTTTACTGGAAAATTTTCTTATCCCACTTTAAATAACCCTAAGATACTCAGAATCAGTACAATTTTCTTGTAAAAGCTAATTATTTTCCTTTTTAAGTGAGGTTTCAAGACTACCAGTAGCTTTCGAATAAGAAGTATTTTTACCCTATTTCGTTTAATGTGAAGAAGGGTTGGTATTTGAAATTTCCCACATCTTCTGACTTATGGCCCAGGAGCCCTTGTGGTTGCATAGCGCAAGTGTTAGCGTGTCGAGATTGTACGCTGCACTAATATAAGTCAGGTTCGAGTCCCGCTGGAGGTGCGGATGAACCATTTCAGACGATGTCGAAGCTGCAGTCCAGTCAGGCCTGGCTGCAAGTACTTTTGGGAAGCAAGACATTGTGAACTTCAATGGAAACATGTGGTCTACTCATAAGATTGTAGAAAAATTCAACTATCAGTTCTTCAGCACCTCCAACGAAACAGGGTGAATACAATTTATATTCAATAAATAACTATCCTTCTAAAACCTCTTCAACTCGTGCACCAACTTCTGGTTTCTCTTCAGCACAGCTGCCTTCTTTTGGCCGAAACCGGTGGTACTGATCCAACGTCACAGCCTGTCGGTCCAAACACGGCTCGGTACGGCAAGACCGTGCGTCAAAAGAGACGAGACAGTCGCAGGACTCGTCCGGCCTGACAGCGATCGATAGGACGCTTCAAGCATAGGCTAAAGCCACCGGATGCTTTAACAGTGAGCCAGATCGATCGGTCATTTTCGCCCTCATCACGAGACTCATAAGACGAACAAGACACAGGCAGGCAGGTCCGGACAAATATGGACCAAAATTGGGTAACAAGCCAAAAGGCAGTTTGAGGCTTCTCGTCAACTCGCCCACAGACAAGAGGCATCATTTAGCTTTGTGTATGCAAAACTTGTAATTCAACCGGGCCAGTACAGAGTAAAAATGGCATCAACCCAAAATGTTTAAGGACTTATTGGAAATTTAGCTTCTGTGTAGAAAGATATGAAACGTATGCTGGCATACCTTCCATTTCGTCTGAGAAGGCGGGTAGAAGGGATTCGTAGATTGGCTGCACCCGATACCGAAGGAGAGTTGCCTTGTCCATTTGTCTGTTGAACTGTGCAGAGGAGACCGCGGCTCATTGTCCCACGAGCCCAATGACTGTGTCCTAAGCTTTCGTCCGTCATGTGATGAAATCATCATACACGAACAATCATCAGAAACAGTAAATCAAGCTTGGTGACTTGAAGATAAGCTGCAAAGGTGTATGGATTCAGAAGTTAGAGGTGGCCGAACATGTTGCGACTACAGGGCATCAGATAGAGTGGTATAAATCCCAACGTTTTGCCGGATGTAGGAAATTCACAGCTAGGCAGAAGTTCAGCAAGTCGATTAAAATTAACAAAACAAAGAACATCCTGAATAAGAGGAAATTA